GAAGGGATGTGAATTCTTCAAGGTTGCAGATACGCCTTATTGACTGATGAGTGTCAACTAGCACGAAACCTAGGTCCAAGGCTTCCTGCCGATTGCCTCCAACTATCTAATATCATATTCAGATTCTAGTGGGAATACCTGGCCTTAGGGACCTAGAAAGTTGCATTTCCAAAAATTTACAAAGCATCACCTTGCAGGTAAACTTTGAAGTGCTTGCATCATAATCTTAGGGTCTTTAATATAGTCCATCACGACGTTGTTAGAGAGTACTGATGATGAGTTACATAAGTGTTCCTGGTTTATAATGAAACCTACTCTTCGATGATCTAAAATAGGAGGGTTTATAAAATAAAGATGCTTTGATATAGTCCTGGTAAAATAATATTTATAGTAAGGAAAGATGTAATTTAACAACTGAAGCACCTGTTACTGATGTACTTTGTGGATAAACGTCCTTGAAACACACAAGAATTGGAAAGAATAAAAAGTGAAATATTCTGTGATGAAAACAGCTACGCGACAGGAGACAACCACATGTAGCACTTACTCACTAACGATGAGACGACTGGAAATCAAGTACGGATGAGCAGAAGAAATAGTAAGGACAATAGTTCTTCGTGTTACCCAACAAATTCATCCTTAACATATACATATATTCGCCTCAAGTCATACATAGTCATAATCACTCAACTTTAACGTAATAAAAACTCTTAATTATTATGAAGCAGTTCAAACTTCACATATGCTGCTTTCTATGACAAACGAGTTCAGCGTAAAATTACGAAAGGAGTATACACTTTAGAGAATCGAACACTAAGTAATCTGTCTCAGAAAAGTTTCCTTTTTCACGTGTGTACTTTGACACTGATGTGAGAATTAATCTTGGTATGCAAATCCGAAAGTAACTTCTACATGAATTATCAATGGTTTCGCTGATAAGTTTATCTGATAGACCTGTGATATACACCTGACACCATGATGTTTTTCCCGTTGTGCAGTATTCAGTTTGTAATTCATTCTATCCGCAGTCTTGTTATATGTATTCAGAGTTAAGGTTACATTAGCAAACGCTTTTGTCTGACAAAATCTCCCCTGGAATTTTACAGGAAATCTTATATCAGATATGCTTAGAAATAGGCTTTCTAAATCAGTCCCTAAGATGTTATTTGCAACAAAACTCCAGCTGTCCTTTGTCTTTGTAAAAAACTCGCCTTGTCACCTGGCTGCCTCCATGGGCACCTATTAGTTCACCCGCTTTTTGGAGCACAGTACACCCACCGAAGCTAGAGAATGCTTTCTATATGGATAAAAGAGAACACTGCAGCATGGTTTTACAAAGGAAAAAAAAGGGTGTGAAGAACCTTATTCTATGACATTTGGTTAAATTCTGTAACTCTATCGATCCAAGCAATGACTTTTAGATTATCTGTCGAATTCACGCTAAATAACTGCGTTCGTTCCAAACTTTATAAGATAACAGAGGCCTTGGTCATTCACTATTTCAAGTCAGACCTTTGTGTACAGTCCTATTTCTACCTTGGCTACTATTATTTTTTGTGTTTCTCAGTTTATACAGTTTCCGATATTATTTCACTTACCCCATTTTATTATTTATTTATTTTATTATTTTTAATCAACACATTTTGTTTAAGACAGATTAAACAATGGGCAGATAACTTCAAAGGACTCTTGAACCAACCACCACCTGAAACTCGTCCAGAAATACCACCAACAGCGAGTACACAACTGCAAGTTGACACCAATCCTCCAACGAAAGCTGAAGTCTTGAATGCAATCAAGCTTCTGAAAGCTGGAAAAGCAGCTGGACCAGATGGAATACCCCCGGAAGCACTGAAAGCAGACCCGGAGACGACAGCAGATATGCTGGCTCCATTATTGCAAAAGGTCTGGAAGGAGGGAAAGGTGCTTGCTGACTGGAGGAAAGGTTACCTTGTGAAACTACCAAAGAAGGGCGACTTAGGACTCTGCAAGAACTGGCGAGGAATCATGCTCCTGTCGACGTCAAGTAACAACAATAATAATATTTTGTTTCAATGTTAAGATCTGTCCAACTATCTATCCAACTTCTCACTAAGTTATGTGGTGTTTTAAATCACCTAGTAATCCTGTTGGTTTTACTTCCCTTCCCAAGATCCATAAAACGTGGTGGAATATTTTCCGCCCAAATTTCGATTTGCATGGATTTATTTGATTTCGAAATTGATCAAGAACTGACTTCAACTGGAGAACCTCTGAGAACGAAAAAGTACTAGACTGATGTTTCGCTCCTATTCGGAACTCTTCACAGTACGCAGCCATCAATCTACAAGTGATCCAGTTCAACGCCAAGCTAAATGATGAGCTCGTTGATAACTCATATAGAGCTCACTGTTGACCAACTACAGGACAAATTGGATGTGCGGACAGATACTGCTCAATGACATAGGCAAATGATCACACTATATATCGCGATTCAACGTAAGTAGGGATCAATTAGCCATTAGACTGCATTCAAGTGGCTGGATGGTCAACGACCTTGCCTTGTAAGCTGAAGATCCTAGTTTCGACTCCTGCTGGAATGGATCATGGAAAAAACAGCTGTCCAGGACTCTCTGATGATTTTTAATGATTCTCAAACTGGAATCAGTTCAATATCATTCTTAAAATGTATTTTTGTTTGGCAACATAAATGGTTGAATATCTTACAAATAGGTTAATAAAATAATTGACAAAAATATTGTTTTAAATGTTGGTCTAAAATTTTAGTGATTTTGTTTTACTATATTAACACATATTCTTTATTCCAAATGCGTCCAACTGATGATATCGAAGCATACTCCAAAATTCACCAGTTTCAATGAACAAATCTTGCTGGTTATTGTTTGATAGTGATATCTAGGTGCCAGGCTTCATAATTGAACAAACAAAATCGCATCTTCATGGCTGCATGCTAATATATATGTGACCTGGTTACAGGATTCCATCATGAGCTGACATCGATTAGAAAACCACTGAAAAACCTGCGAGTACTGGACAACTGTTTCGTCCTAGTTTGGGATCCTTCGTCAATACGCACCCACCGGGGTTCGGATCCAGGACCTTCTGGTTACAAGGCGAGCTTGTAGACCGCCAAGCCGCTGAGACCCTATCTCATGACCCATGAATTCCAACTTCTGCCAACTAACTAACTAACTAACTAACCGTTGGATCGGATCATGAGGAAATCCTGTAACCAATCAATCAAAATCCCTACAAACCAATACTTGAAAATACTTCGCCTTTACTAATATCTTAGTGGCGCTCATTTAGAGGTGCACTTTACCACCAACTTATTCCTTCCCCTATTTCTCTTTTATTTTATTTATCTTACCTGTATGTCAGTCATGCCTATTAATTGACATCAACCAACAATAATACAATTTCAGATGTTAGATTTCGTCGTGAACCCGCATCGGTTAATTCTGTCCAATTCAAATAAGGACAGAACTATTGCTTTTTGTCTTAAACTAAATCACATATGGGTTGAATTACGAATTATGAAGTGTTTAGTGGACAGGATATATCATTCCGTACGAATCCTAACTTTTTTAAAACTCATGACAAATTTTTACTGGCAAAATTAGAAGTAAATATTTAGAGCGAACAATTGTTTTCAATAAATTCTTCTTCAGGCTCTACAATTATAAATCCATTAATTTAAGCATACAAAAGCCAGTATAGTCAAGTTAGAATCATATCAGAAAGTGTATTGTGGAACAAGTATAAGTAAGATGGATGGGATGGAACAATAGTCAATTAGTTTCTTTTAATAGGCATAGTCAATGAGAACATGGGACAAAATGAGATGAAGTAATTTAATTTAATGATGTGTGTACTCACACAGCAAGTAAAAGATAAATTATCAAAGATGGCCTCATCAATGTGTATCTAGGAATTTAACTGCTCATGTGGAGCTAGTTACATTGGCCGTACTCAGAGGGCTTTATCCATGCGCGCGCGTGAACATGTACCTGTATGGTTGAGTAGAGGAGTAACCAAATGTGTAAATAGTGCAGTCTTAGCCTACTTGGTAGATACGGGACACCCGATAGAACTTGACCAGCCGTTCTCAGTTATTTACAGCGTCCATAGTAATTTATCTAGAGGAACTCGACTACGTCTTCTATCAGTAGTGAAGCGGTGGCAATTAATACCAGAAGAAGATCTCTTTGCATACAAAAGAAGTATGTTCAACCTCTATGTTTACCTTGGCCTACAATAAAGCCAACAAATCCTCCATTAACACTATAAATTCCTTTCACAATTTTCCTGTCGTTTCTTCTTCTATTCCTTTGTTTCATTGACGAACGTTCATTTTCGACTTTTATGATTTCATGACCTTTCGTATGATTTTATTACCTTAGGTTTAAGTAGTGCTTTTCTAACTTGCTATCGTATTTACAAAATCCTGTTCATTCCACTTCATTATATTCATTATTATTATTATTTGACAATCATTCACCAATCGTGCTTGTAATTTTACACCATATCATCGTTATTATTTTGCAATCATTCTTATTGTCGTTATTTTCAACCTTGAACTTATGTCTAGTCCGCCCCATTCGTTGGTTTATTTTCATACTGTCTCACACAACCTGATTACCCTCACTCTCGAAACCCGTATTTTCTGTTGACTATATTTATATATATACATACACATCATTAAATTAAATTACTTCACCTCATGTTCCCATGTTCTCATTGACCATGCCTATTAAAATAACTAACTGACTATTGTTCCATGCCATCCATCTTACTTATACTTGTTCCACAATACACTTTCTGATATGATTCTAATTTGCCTTTACTCACTGGCTATTGTATGCTTCCTTAAATTAATGAATTTATAATTGTAGAGCCTGAAGAAGAACTTATTGAAAACAACTATTCACTCTAAATATTTTGTTCTGAATAAATTATGGGAATATTCAATTTACTGAAAATTAGAAGTAGTGACATACATTTGACTTACCGTTTGTTCTCTCTTTTTTCAATAACCTAATTCTTATCGTTTATGTATCTGTATTGTGTTGTTGAGCATATTCGAAGGATTGTCTGAATTAGAAATAAAGTGAATCAATAATTCCATTGAACACTCGATATATATTCAGTTTGTAAAATATTTTATAAAGTATCGCATTAAAAAAAAATTCATTCATTCATTTATTTGTTTATTAATTCATCTATTTACCAATTTGTTTATAATAGATTTATATTTTCACTAATTATAATAATATGCCTACTAATGATATAATGTCAGGGCATTTAAAAGGCCGAGTTCTGATTGGCCAATGCGCACAGGCACAATACTATGTCTGCAGCTCGCTAATTGGTCGAAAATATTCGAACTTCAAATGGCGGCAAAAATGTGAATATTCATAACGCCGAGAATTCCATGAGAGAATATTATTATCACTGTCAATTAGTATTTTGTTATTACAATTTCAATAAACCAATAACCTTCAACTTTTATCTGTAATATCAGTCACCATTGTCTCTCTCTCTCGCGGGCGCGCGCGTACACACACTTTTGAAACTTAACACTGATGCCATTTGTTGCGGAAAGTTCGACATTAAAGTGACATCATTGTGAAAGCATTTGTTAGGAAATCTGTGTGTGCCTTACTTTATAGTTGCACAATATATTCAGTTTTGAATGACCAAAACTTTGCTTTCACGCAAAACGCACATGCACACACACACAATATGAAGTAAGTGTGCATAATTATCTTACATTTTGTTTTCAAAACTACATATTCAACAACAACCGGCTGATATTTTTGACGATTTGAGGTAATTATACATAAGAAAAAGGATTTTTATATTGTACATACATGTTGTTTTCGTGTTGGAGACAATACGGTATATTGTATGTCAATGTTTGTATGTGCGTGAGTGTGCATGCGTGTGTGTTTGGCAAATCAAGGAGATTAGTGCTGAATTTACCACCTACAACTCGGCTTATGTTGACGCCATGAAGTTGTCTCGTTTAAACACGGGTAAAATCATTTGTGAAAAAAAAATCACTTCCATTGAAATCAACAGTATTTAACGAGTGGATCACAAAAGCTCACAAGACCACTATCTGTAAGTGTCGTCTAACAAACCCAGCGATAACTCTGAATAGTAAGTACATCAGAAATCCTTAATTAATGAAATGAAACAGATAGAAGAAGAGTTAGCATTAAATAAGCAACTATCCAATAAAATTCATTAGAAGGATCATAAAAATCCCTCTAGAAAGAGAAAAATCATACTGGTGTTGTTGACGATAACGGAAAACAAAAAGTATTCGAAATATCTGTAGTTTTTCCATGTAAAGAATAGACATCTGAAGGAAAAGGTGTGGGAAGGGGGCAAAGTTCCTGTGGATTGGAAGAAAGGATACTTATTCAAACTGCCAAAGAAAGGAGACTTAAGTCAATGCAAGAACTGGCGTGGCATTATGCTCCTGTCTATCACAAGCAAAATACTAAGCTGCATCATCCTGAAGAGAATCAAACAAGCCCTGGATGAAAAACTTCGACCGGAACAGGCTGGATTCGGGAGAAACAAGTCATGCATTGATCAAATCGCCACACTACGGATCATCGTCGAACGGAGCTTGGAATGGCAGTCACCTCTCAATCTCAAATTCGACAGCGTCTATCGAGAGGTGATTTGGCAACTACTTCGCTAATACGGTGTGCCGCCGACAATTATACATCTCATACAACAGTTGTACGACAATGCTTCATGCCAAGTAATCCATAACGGAAAACTTACAGAATCCTTCGAAGTGAGGACAGGAGTAAGACAAGGCTGCCTGCTATCTCCAATGACTCCTCATAGTGGCAGACTGGACAATGCGACAGACAGCAGCGGGAAGCGAGGAAACAGGCATAAAGTGGACTCACACAAAAAACTTGGAGGATCTGGACTTCGTCGATGATACATGTCTGATTTCCCATCAGGCGAACATAGAGAAAACAGAGGTGATGAAGATTCCTGGCCATTAGCAACAACAACAGACAACAGTGAGCATAAATGGGAGAAATCTGAAAGAAGCAAACTCCTTCACCTACTTACCTACCTACCTGCCTACCTAGGAAGCATCGTCTCAACTGCAGGCGGACGTAACTGATAAGGATAGCAAAGTGAGGACCGATAAAGTAAGGCAAGCTTTCATTTCTTTCAAGTCTGTGTGAAGATCAACAGCACTCAACATGAAAAGTAAGATCCAGATTTTCAACTCTAGTGTGAATTCAGTGCTACTTGCTTTATAGATCAGAGACTTGGCGCCGCGTCACGAAAGTCACTTCGAACAAACTGCAGACCTGCATCAACAGTTGTCTTCGCTCTATACTCAAGATCAGATGACCAGAAAAGATCAGCGACGGAGATCTCTGGGAGTGAACAAACCCAGTAGGAACCGATTGTGCAAGAAATATGCAGTAAGAAATGGAGGTGGATTGGCCATACTCTGAGAAAACCATCAAGTGACATCACAAGACAGGCTCTCTTTGCAGAGGAGAATCCGAATGTGAATCGGCGAGTTGGGCCTCAGTGTGAGGGTGACATGGAATAGATTATGTGAACAGGAGATGAAAGCATGTGGGCAGACGTGGATCCATGTGAAAATGTTGACAGAGAACCGAATGCATTGGAGACGCGCGGCTCAATTAAATGAAACAATAATAATAATCATCTGAAGACCCACTAAGGATTTCTGACAAGACAGCAGTTACGGTAGCATCTGAATCTTTAGACTCACTCTGTGACAGCCTCTGTTGACTAAAGAACCCAGACTGATCCCAATAAACAAAATATATTATTCTGCAGAATACCTTGCAGTGAGTGTGAGATCAGCTGCATAGATCAGATTAGTAGATCAGTGGTAGTTAGATTATTGGAACATAAGAATTTAACTAAACGTAGAAACACTGTCTCCATGAAGATGAATAAATGAAGAAAAGACTCATCAAATGAAGTGCATGGGTCAACACACGTTCATACAAAAGGGTGGGTTAGTGTTACAGTTACAAAAAGTAATATAGGTAGGTGGAGGGAGACGTCGATTAATAAATGTTTTTTCATTGAGTATACACCGAACAAATGCAATAGGAATGATCCACTACGAATACTGGCGATAAGGAGTATATTACCACCAATAAAATAAAGGAATAAGAAACGATAGAACTACATAGACGAAGTTCGGTAGAGGCTGTATGACTGTCTTGATATGATTATGGGCAATAATGAGTTGTGTTAGAAAGGCCATCAATACATAAACAATACTCTATCACTCACTGTCTGATTTTATCAAATAAATTTATTCCATCCTGGAAGTATTCATAAGAATTTCCATATGAAATTTTTCTTGGAGTTGATATATTTGCATGAATACAGCTATCTCTGCCAGGTGTGTATTTTTTTCTCCAATACTAAGCAGTAACAAAACCGGGATTTTTAAAAGAAAAGAATTATTTGTAGTAGAGATTGTTGTTTATTGTGCCTCACATTGTTAAAACTGGTGGTGAAAATGGGAAATTGATGACACTGTGAAGACTAGGTCAGGTAACACGATCGACAATCGTTTCTTTCTGAATGCACTAATTTGATTTTCACAGTTTTAAAATGTCAGTTTGTTGGCCACTATCTACCGGGTGATGAACCATCGCACTACTGAAGACAAATGCAGCTTTCATTCGCCAGTTCTTGGAATATGACAGCGTATATGAATCAGCTTTTTAAGACTGCGGGCTTCGAGTATTTACTCTGAGAATATCTATTAACTACCTTTGATTCTAAATTTTGCAATATATCTCAAAATTTTAAAGAAATTAATCCCAAACCGCCATAAATCTCATAATCTGAATATCAATTGCCAGGTAACTGATGGCTACTGGATAGATTTTCTTAGGCTGCAGTATGAATTCATCACCAGCGGGATCCACTCTGTCAGGGTGTAGTGGGTGATTATCTAAGGCATCGGTTGGCGGTAGTATTATTTCACGAGTTGACAAAGTTAGAATTCATGGGGCGTTGTATTCCAGCCCACGTGCCTTAATGGTCAGTGAGCTTAGTCGCATAACCTCAAGTTTTCAGGTTTGATCCCTGGTGTAGTCGTGCATGCAAACTATTGAATATTCTTAAAATAGGGCGGAAAGGTTTTCGAGTGCTCATTGGTTTACAGTGGATACTTGCTCTAGCGGATACTTGTTCGTGACGAAAGACGGTTCTATTTAACAATCTCCATAAAATCTCAGTTTAATCGCCCCCCCGCCCCCTACTTATTCATCATTGAATTGTCGCTAAACAATTGAGTGACTTGAAACTGTGTGTGAGGGGGTATTTTTTCCAGAAAATGCAAACTGTCATTCCCCTTGATTAACTTGAACAAAGTAATAACAACAAAGTTACCACGAAAACTTCACGTCAGTTTATATTTCCCTAGGTTCTTTTCAGCTGCATTTAACCTTAAACTGTTACAATATGAATATACAAAATCATCGTCATTTTCAAATATACATTTAGAACAAATTATGGAGATTATGTGTCAACATTACAAGCGTGGGGAACCTTATATAACCTCCTTCCTCAAGGATTCTGAAGATACACAGAGAGGAAGTGACTGAAAAAGAACTGCATAATCTCTGAAGAACCCTTATGGAAAGCGGTTTTCCACCTAGGTTCATAGACAAGAATCTCAAATCAAAGAAGACTTCTGAACAAGTCCAATCCATCCCAGAGAAGATCCTTTTGCTTAATATAGAATTCAAGATGACATCGAAGTAGAAATCCTTCGTAAACGCCTCTGCAAATCTCTGAGGAAAACATACTTCGCTGCAAGCCTACAACTGACGTTTTGCTGCAAAAAGTGTTCAGCCAGGACACGAAAGAGAAGTTGTCGCATTGAGTCACTTCAACATGCATTTACCAGTTTACTTGCTCTTGCGGACAGGAGTACATCGACCGTACCATGCACCAACTTGAAAGACGCGCTTGTGAACACCATCCAAGCTCGTTAGTAAAAGGAAATCGAAAACGGATATATAGTTCAGTGACGCAACATCTGGTCAATTCAGGACATTCAGCACTATTCGAAAAATCCTTCAAAATAATAAACAAGATTCTATCAATCCTATCAAAGGGAAACATCTGAGCATAGTTGAGGTACTAGCTATCAAAAGGTTCAAACCCACGCTATGCATGCAAA